TATATACAATATATACATATATATACCTAATCGTATGCACACACATATTTATACAGCCGCCTCAGCCTGAGCAACGGAATTCCTCCCCCGGCGAAGGTGCCGTGCCCGTGACCGCTCCCACAAACGACGATGGCACTGCTGTAAGTGGTTGGGGAACATGGGCGATGTCTTCACTAAGTAAAGGTATGACGTAAAGTCTATTTATAGAACAATCTATTATTATAACTCGTGTATGTAGTGATTCGCTGTCACAATTCGCTCGGGCACTGTCGTGAATGGTTCGGACACGCGGGTACTGTTTGTACTAATTATTGTCCCATATGAAGTCTTCGTTCATAGAGAAATCTATTTATAGAACACGAGGTAAGCCTTGTCGCTGAATCTGATTGGTGCGTTCTATTTAAAGCCATGGCTCGCGATACGGCAGTGGCCGACGAAGCCATACCTCATGCAGAGCCAGAGCCAGATAGTATCGAACTTTGACAACCTGACCCACACAAAGCAATATGTACAGATATTTCTCGTTATTTCTCGTATTAGCTGCATGTAAATAGTTAGTTCTCTTAATAGCCACATGTACAGTATTTTCTGGTACTACCCACATGCCCTGTGTTTTCTACTAGTAGCTACCTGTACAGTAAGCTCTATCAATAACTTATGTATAACATATTCTAGGCATAGCCAGTGCTGGACAAGCGACAGAGTCAGCAGATAACATGACTCATACGGTACCAGACCTTAAAGATAGCTACCTGCAGGTGCCTGCTATGTACAGCCCCTTCAACAGGTTTCCCTATTCACAACCTCCTTCACGAACTATTCTATTCATAGCCTTCTTCACAGACTGTTTTATTTATAGCTTTCTTCACAAACTATTCTATTTATAGCCTTCGTCACAGATGTTTTATTTATAGCTTTCTTCACAAACTATTCTATTTATAGCTCCCTTCACAAATTATTCTTTTATAGCTTTCTTCGCAAACTATTCTATTTATAGCTTCCTTCGCAAATTATTCTATTTATAGCTTTCTTCACAAACTATTCTAATCATAGCTTCCTTCACAAACTATTATATATATAGACTTCCACAGCCTATTCTATTTGTAAATTTCTTCACAGCTATTCTATTAATAGCTTCCTTCACAACGTACTCTATTTATAGCTACCTTTACAAACTATTCAGGCAGACAGGCTCAAGCTTACACAATCGTATCTGTTACATATTCACGTGTACAGTCTGTTCTATTTATAACCAGTTTTACTTTATCTAAATTTTTAGCCATGACTAGAGATGCGGCAAAGCCTGAAGGAACAATGACTCATGCAGTGCCAGACAGCACCGAACAATCGCAAAACTCATCTCCAAATCCAGACAACCCCCCACCTCACAGGACCAATATACCTGCAATACCCCAGGTACGTTTGAGGAATTTATATATATAA